GAGGGAGGGTGAGGGAGCGTGAGGGAGCGTGAGGGAGGGTGAGGGAGGTGAGGGAGGTGAGAGTGCGTGTGGGAGGGTGAGGGAGGGTGAGGGAGCGTGAGGGAGGGTGAGGGAGGGTGAGGGAGGGTGAGGGAGCGTGAGGGAGGTGAGGGAGTGAGGGGTGGGAGTGAGGGAGCGTGAGGAGGTGAGGAGGGTGAGGAGCGTGAGAGGCGTGTGGGAGGGTGAGGGAGGTGAGGGAGCGTGAGAGGTGGGGCGAGGGGAGGGGAGGGTGAGGAGGGAGGGTGAGGAGGGTGAGGGAGGGTGAGGGAGCGTGAGGGAGCGTGAGGTGAGGTGAGGAGCGTGAGAGTGGCGGTGGGAGGGTGAGGGAGCGTGAGGGAGGGTGAGGAGTGCGTGTGGAGGGTGAGGGAGGTGAGGGAGGTGAGGGAGGGTGAGGAGCGTGGGAGGTGAGGGAGGTGAGGGAGGTGAGGAGGGTGAGGGAGCGTGAGGGAGCGTGTGGGAGGGTGAGGGAGTGAGGGAGCGTGTGGGAGGGTGAGGGAGGTGAGGAGCGTGAGGGAGGGTGAGGGAGCGTGAGGGAGGGTGAGGAGCGTGAGAGGAGCGTGTGGGAGGGTGGGAGGGTGAGGGAGCGTGAGGGAGGGTGAGGGAGGGTGAGGGAGGGTGAGGGAGCGTGAGGGAGGTGAGGGAGGTGAGGGAGCGTGAGGGAGTGGGAGGCGTGAGGAGCGTGAGGGAGGGTGAGGGAGGGTGAGGGAGCGTGAGGGAGGTGAGGGAGCGTGAGGAGGTGAGAGGGGGAGGCGTGAGGGAGCGTGAGGGAGGGGTGGAGGGGGAGGGTGAGGGAGGTGAGGGTGAGGAGGAGCGTGAGGGAGCGTGGGAGCGAGGGTGAGGGAGGTGAGGGAGGTGAGGAGGTGAGGAGCGTGAGGAGGGTGAGGAGGGTGAGGGAGAGCGTGAGGGAGGGTGGGAGCGTGTGGGAGGTGAGGAGCGTGAGGAGTGAGGGAGGGTGAGGGAGCGTGAGGGAGGGTGAGGGAGGGAGCGTGAGGGAGGGTGAGGGAGCGTGAGGGAGGGTGAGGGAGGGTGAGGGAGGGTGAGGGAGCGTGAGGGGGTCTGGGGAGTGAGGAGTTCCTTAAGGTACTGGGGGGAGTGACCGTGGATGCATTGGTGAGTGAGGAGGGAGACCTTGTACTCAACCCTGAGTGTGATCGGGAGCCAGTGAAGGGATTTCAGGATGGGGGTGATGTGGTCAAATTTTCGCACCCTCATCAGGATCCTGGCAGCGCAGTTCTGGACGTCCTGCAGTCTCTGGATGCTCCTGCCAGGGATCCCGATGAGGAGTGCGTTACAGTCGTCCAGCCTGGAGGAGATAAAGGCGTGGACGAGCTTCAGAGGGAGGGAGAACATGCAAACTCCACACAGAAAGACCCAGGCGACTCGGGGATCGAACCTTCTTTTTAACAGAATCAGAATTTTTGTTCATTGTCAATTATTTTTGTTACAGACATGATCCAACCAACAGCAGAAGAAAGTGATCAAAATAAAGAAAATTCTAATCAATACTAGAAAAAACAAAACAAATAAACCCAAAACAAACTATGATGTCTTTATCAGCTAAACCCCAGTGAAAATAAATAAACTTACTTTAGTTTAAATTATTTATTGTTTTATCACACCCTCAACAAACAAACAAACTAAAAACAAACAAACAAACAAAAAGCTTTACCACAGTGTTTTTCAAAATAAAACCAAAAATAAGAAAACACAAAACCAACGATTTTCTTCATTATTTGTCTCCAAAAACCAAAATGAAAGAAAAAAAAAAAAACAGATAATGATTCGTTTTTTCAGTTTTTTCGATTTTGTGTTTAAATGAAAAATGGAAAAAAAAAAAAAAAACGAATAACGGACTGAACCAGGACTAAACCAGGACTAAACCAGGTCCAGGACCAGATTGGGACTGAGACCGGGCTCAGACCAGATCTGAGACCAGGATTGAGACTGGGGACCAGGACCAGGACTGAGACCAGGACCAGACCCGGACTGAGACCAGGATAAGACCAGAACTGAGACCAGGATTGAGACCAGGACCGAGACCGGGACTGAGACTGGGAATCAGACCAGAACTGAGACCAGGACTGAAACCGGGAACAGACTGGGACCAGACTGGGACTGAGATCAGGGCTAAGACCGGGACCAGACCAGGACTGAGACCAGGACTGAAAACGGTTTAGTCCTGATTTAGTCCTGGTTTAGTCCATATGTGGCACAAAAGTTCAGCATCACAATCACGGAAACGGGAAAACATAATCCGTTTTTTTTTTTTTTCCCCCCCTCATTTTTCATTTAAACACAAAATCGAAAACTGAAAAAAAGAATATATTTTTTTGTTTGTTTTTGTTTTCATTTTGGTTTTGGAGACAAATAATGAAGAAAATCATATTTTTTTTCATTTTCTTATTTTTGGTTTTATTTTGAAAAACAAATGAACAAACGACACAGATTTTCTTACCATAACTGAACTGCAAATGGACATTTTTTTATTTATTCATGTTTAATAATTAACGAAGGAAAGAACCTTCACAGCGTCACAGTCGAGCCTCCACCCGCCCAAACCTCACGCCTACGGGTTTGGGGAAAGTGTGGCTCTAGCACATGTCGACTTAAATCTGTGTATCATTCGTTCATTTGTTTTTAAATATAAAACCAAAAATAAGAAAATGAAAAAACAACAATTTTCTTCATTATTTGTCTCTAAAACCAAAATGAAAAAACACAGATAATGATTCATTTTTTCAGTTTTAAATTTTGTGTTTAAATGAAAAATGGAAAAAACTAGATAACGGACTGAACCAGGGCCAGACCGGGACTGAGACCAAGACTTAGACCGGGACCGGGACTGAGACCAGGAACAGACCAGATCTGAGACCAGGACTGAAACCTGGACTGAGACCGGGACCAGACCTGGACTAGATTGGGACTGAGACCAGGACTGAGACCGGGACCAGACTGGGATAAGACCAGAACTGAGACCTTGATTGAGACCAGGGACCAGGACTGAGACCGGGACTGAGACTGGGACCAGATTGGGACTAGACCAGGACCAGAGAAGGACTGAGACCGGGATCAGACCAGAACTGAGACCAGGATTGAGACCAGGACCAGGACTGAGACCGGGACTAGACTGGGATCAGACCGGGGCTGAGACCAGGACAGAAAACGGTTTATAGTCCTGGTTCAGTCCTGGTTCAGTCCTGGTTCAGTCCTGGTTCAGTCCGTATGTGGCGGCATCACAGTCAAGGAGGTCACTGAAACACGAAACGGCCATTATCTGTTTTTTTTTTTTTTTCATTTTTCATTTAAACACAAAATGTTTAATAATTAACAAAATAAAGAACCTCCACAGCGTCTCAGTCGAGCCTCCGCCAGCCCAAACCTCACGCCTACGGGTTTTGGGGAAAGTTGGCAGTTGACTCTGGCTCTGGGTGAACAAACTCTGAAGGATAAACTCAGATAAACTTTGATTTGTGATGCTGGATTTCATGTAAACAGACTGGATTATTTGCTTTTTGTCCGCGATGTGGAAATAATCGTCTTTCAGCAGTTTGGGGCTCAGGTAAGCAGCTCACACCGGCGCCTTTACACCACAAACGTTTATTTAGTCGTGTTTTATTCAGAATCAGGATCAGATCCATAAACCGGCGCTTTTATCTGCTTCGTTCAGTCGTGTCGCGTCCAGTTAAACTCCGGTCGCTGTCGGCGTTTGTTGAGGCGACTCAGGCTGCGGAACTGTTTTTTTGTTTTGTTTTATAGCTGCAGCCGGTTGGTCGGTGGTGACTGGAAGTTCGTCCAGATCTCAGTGGGCTTGTCTGACGTCTTCATGTAACTTTTGTGGTTGTAGTTTTAGGACGGACACTTCCGTGCTTTGTTTCGGCCGTTGCGTATTTTCTTTCTGTGTTTGTCGTGTGGTGGTGTCGTTGTGCTGGTGTGTCTTTATGCAGCACGTGGAGGAAACGAGGAGACGGAGAGAAGCCAGAGCAAACAGTCCCCCACAATCTCTGTTTATCTATTTCTCTTCTAGTGACCAGTGTGAGACAAAACCATAAACAGATTCAGTCCTGGTTCAGTCCTGGTTCTCGGACATGTTCCTCAGGGTGCTGCTCCTGTTCCTCTGGTGTTGGGGTGAGTTCTTCTTCTTCTTCACACTTTATTTTATGTAAAATTTGCCCTGTAAAAAACAACAACATTATCTTCTATTTTGAGGTGTTTTTATTTAAATGAACATAACGTTGTAAAACCTTCAGCATTTACATGTGTCCATCACTGAAAACTGTCGTTTTGTGCACAGCTCTGTGTCATGTGACCAACAGACGTCATTTTGTAACATGAACTCTGTGTGCAGGGGTCCTGTGTGAAGGGGTCCAGGCAGAAAACAACAGCACAGCAGGTAAGAACCACTCAGCAACACACTCGGGGGGCGGGGCTTCACTCTGTCTCTTGTCTGTTCAGACCTCAGGCTGGTGGGCGGGGCCAGTCGTTGTTCTGGGACTGTGGAGGTGAAGCTCAGAGGAGAGTGGAGACGAGTGTATGAACGCTCCTTTCGCTGGGACCAGGGGGACACAGCTGCTGTGTGCACAGACCTGGACTGTGGCTCTGCTGTTTCTGGAGAACACAGAACTAATCTCCCGCAGAGTCGTGTGTGGTGGGTCACAACTGACTGTGTGAAGAATTCTTCAGTGAGAGGATGTGTCTTTGATTCGTTCTTCTCCTCTGCCTGGGGTCTGGACGTGATGTGTTCAGGTAAAAAGTCTGATCTTACATTTCTCTCAGACGTTTTTTCTAGTTGTGTGTCGTCCAGAGTTTAGATCTCACACACACACACACGCACACGCACACACACACACACACACACACACGCACACGCACACACACACACACATGTCTCACAACACTAATATAAATATTTAACACACATTTATATCTGCACTACAGCGGTGATGTCACATGTGTGTCCACAGACTCGGTGCGGTTGGTCTCGGGGTCCGGTCTGTGTTCAGGATCAGTGCAGATCTGGGACGGGTTCTGGACCGGGGTCTGTGACGGGGACTTGGACCAGCGGGGGGCAGAGGTGCTGTGCAGGGAGCTGGGCTGTGGGGCTCCTTCTCTCCTCCAGGGGGCGCTCTCTCCTCTGGGGCAGATGTTCCACTGTGAGGGTCATGAGTCTGCTCTGATGGACTGTCCCCGCTCCAACTCAAGCACCTGCTCCTCTGGAGCCACTGTCAACCTCACCTGCTCAGGTAAAGGGGCGGGGCTTCACTGCTCAGGTAAAGGGGTGGGGCTTCACTCTGTCTCTTGTCTGTTCAGAGCCAATCAGGTTGGTGGGAGGAGTCAGTCGCTGTAATGGGACTCTGGAGGTGAGATACAGAGGGGAGTGGAGACGGGTGGAGTCCTCCGGACTCTGGGGCCACGAGGCGGCAACTGCTGTGTGCAGAGACCTGGACTGTGGCTCTGCTGTTCACAGAGAACAGAAAGATGATTTTCCACGGAGTCGTGTGTGGAGGATCAGATCTGACTGTGTGAAGAAATCTTCAGTGAGACGATGTGTCTCTGGTTCTTCTTCCTCCTCTGCCCGGGGTCTGGAGATGGAATGTTCAGGTAAAAGTCTGATCTTACATTTTTATGTCTCTCAGGTTTTTTTTTTCTAGTTGTCAGATATAAAATGAGTTTAGATCACACAAACACACGACTCGGGTGGAGTCGTGGTGATTCTTCTGTTGTAGCTCCTGCTAATCCTCCCAATGACCTACTGCTACGACCTTTAGACATGATTTAGTCCTGGTTTAGTCCTGGTTTCTGACCTGTTGTTGTGCTGTGTTCTGTTGTTGTTTCAGGTCAGGACCAGAGGCGGCGCTAGAGAGAGGCCCCGGCTCAGAGTGAAACGGTTCAGATCAGAATTGGTCCAGTTTCAGATACAGTCGTCCCTCGCTATAACACAGTTCACCTTTCATGGCCTTGCTGTTTCGCTGTTTCGCTGATTTGTTTTTGTGCAATTATGCGTATGTGCGTGCATTGTGCCCCCCCCCCATCTTGATTGGCTTTAGACCGTTGTCAATCAGTCTCAAATTTACATAAATGTTGGATCTGTATCAGTGTGATTCTGAAGTGTTGTATGTTTGTGAGTTTTCTCCCCGACAAATACCACAATGTCGACAAAACTTTCTGCACCGACAAAGACTCCCGCGCTCGCATCCAAAAGACAGAAGAAGATGTAACCATCACACAAAAAGCTGAACTTCTGGACACGCTGAAGGAAGTAGAAGTTACGCGGCTGTGGCAGAGTCCTGCACCGGGTCGTGTCCGGGCAAATAGTTGCTGAAACAGGCGGGTTTTAACATTCTGGAATTTAAAAAAGTCCGGCATCTCGATGTTTCTTCTGCTCAGTAAATAAAATCTGTGAAGTGTTGACAGTCGAGTCGCGTCTGTGAACTTGTCTTCGTATTGAAAAAAGTGTAACCGTTTCATTTTGTGATTGTAATTCTCGCAATTGTAACTTTTCATCTCGTATTCTGATAAATATTTCAGTTAGAATGTTTTTAATTTGTGTGTGATTCATCACGGGTCCGGGCGGGTGCAGGTTTGAAGTTGATATAATGCACGGGTGGTGCTAACTGGACTGTGCGGGTGCTGGGTGCTGGACTGCTGGTGGGTGCTGTGCTGGCGCGGGTGCTGGTCTGGGTGCTGGTCTGCGGGTGCTGCTGGCTGCGCGGGTGCTGGTCTGCGCGGGTGCTGGTCTGCGCGGGTGCTGGTCTGCGCGGGTGCTGGGCGGGTGCTGGCGGGTGCTGGTCTGCGGGTGCTGGTTGCTGGGCGGGTGCGGGCTGGTTGCGGGTGGGTGCGGGCAGGTGCAGGCGGGTGCGGATGGATGTGGGCAGATGCGGGTGGGTGTGGGTTTCCAAAAATGGACCGGTGCAGGACTCTGATCTGTTTTATAATAAACTGAACGATGATTGGACCCAGGACTTTTAACGTTGTCTCTATTGTTAATTAAATAAAAAATGTGTTTCCTTTAAAAATGTAAAATAAATATTCTGTAAAGGATAGAACCTGGCTCTCATTTGATGTGCTTCCCTGTGCACCTTACACTTACATTTGATTTCCTTAAACTAGATTTGAGGCGCGGTTGTTGCGACACTGTTTCTGTTAATATTCCAAACGGTCAACTCCTCGACTGCCACATGTGACGTCCAACACGCACGAATCACTGCGATATAAATACCTCACCTCAACTGGTCTGTGCTCAGCAAACTCCTCGGCTGACAGTGTTCTTCATGAGCTCCGTCTGTGCACATCGGTGTCCAGTGAGAAGGTGAGGCAGATGTGTTGGGTTATTGACGGGCATTTGATTAAATTTTCTTAATCGATCGTTCGGGAGAATTAACGATCGATTATCGATTAATCATTAACGTTTTTATATTAAAATGATCATCATTATTATTACTATCTGCACTAATCTGCATAAATAAATTCAACTTTACGACATGTAAACATAACGACTCTAGAGCCACATCAGCTGTTTGACATTATAATGTGTTTAATTCAGTTTTGTTCAAATCTCACAGAAACAAAACTTAAAACCACATCACTAATTTACATAAACTAAGCAAAGATAAAAAAAACAGCTCTTGTGTCGCTGATGTGGTTCAACTTGTGTTGGATTAAAAGACATGACTCAGGTGAATACAGGTCAGTGTGACCAGATTTGTGTTTGTCAAAACCAGGACAGCGTACGGGGAGGGGGGCGGGGCCTCGTCATCCACATTGAGCGACTCTCACCTGGAAAAACTTTTTCCCACTGGACACAGAAACATATGTGCTGCTTTATCCACTGTGCACATGGACTCACACTTGTCCCAACGCAACGGAAAGTGTGGAATTTCTTGTACAAATCATCGTTAAAGGTTGTATGGAGGATTTTGTTTTTTGTTTTTTTTTGTTTCAAGTTGTCAGTGATAGATTATAAAGGTGCAGCAGCCTTGTAATTATGATGACCAAAAAAAAGAGAATAAAAATTCATCAACTCTGGACGTGGTGGGGCTAAACATTTCCCAATAGATAATGACACTGCCTCGTTATCTGTGAGCTGACAGGCTGTCAATCAAACTCCCTACGTTTCTAGCGTAACTGACTTGCCTGCGCCGCCGGTACGTGGTTTACGTACGACTGTCACGCAGTCCACAGACGCAAGACGCACAGACGCTGTTTACTCCACCAACGCAACAGTTCTTAGCGGCTTTTTTTGACCTATATCTTCCTCGCAGTTCGCACAAAGTTTGTTGCGATGGCGACAAGAATCCAGGAGCAAATTAGCCGCAAAAGAAAGTCTGTTTTTGAGGTGAAAGAAGAAGACAAGGGGAAAAGCAGCGAAGCCAAACTAAGGTGATTCTTGAAGATTCATTCCAGCGATGGCGCGACTGAAGCAGACGAAGGGTCTAAAGACTGACGCACTGGTCCACAAATTACTCCTGGACAGGTAACTTCTGCTTATTATGAAAACGTACTTTATTTCCAAGAGCGAGACAAACGTTTTTCAGGACACGAAAGCGATATCCTATGTCTGAAAACGTAATTTTCAAGGCAAAGAAAGAGTCCGCTTGCTGCTGCGTGTTGTAGCTAGTTCATTCGCACTGAATCTCCGCGCACTCTTCTCTGCTCCCCTTTCCTGCTCCTCTCCCGCTGCCCGTTCCGCTCTTCTCCCTGCTCCTCACTTCTCCGGGCACGAAATCTCCGCTCCCCTCTCCTCTCTCCTCTCCTCGCTCCCTGCTCCGCTCTTCTCGTCCGCGAACGAAATGTCGCACACCCCTCCCTCCGCTCCTCACTTCTCCGTCTTGTCTAACCAACACTGTAGTTAGTTGTTTACAAGTCATGTGCAGCTCACCGCTGTAAACAAACCTGTTTCTGGCGTAAAGAGGAGCGGAGGAGGCGTTTCTACGTAGGAGCTGTAGGGGAGGGGGGTGGTTTCACGCATGCGCAACATTTGAAAAAGGACAAAACAGTCGCTGGATTTTCTCGTTCCTTGGAAAATCCTCTATACAACCTTTAAATCCACATTTGTGCTTCGGTTCGTTACAGACTGACCCACTGTTTGTGTCTCGCTCCTTCTGATGCAGAGACACATGTACACACCTGTTTGGTCCCTACGCTACGTACAGCAACCTACATTTGGTTTGTTGATTAAAAATGAACGTAATCGATGAAATTCTTAATGATCAATTATCGATTAATCGACTAATCATGCCCATCTCCAGTTGGGCTGTTTTCCTTGCAGGTGACGAGTTAGGTCTGTGGACTCGATCTGATTCCCCTGGAGTCTGTCTCGTCTGCACATTCAGTACAGAAGTTTCCCTGGACACGGATATTTCCTTCACTTGATTACTTCATAAAGACAATCATATATATGTCAACTTTCTTTTGCTGTTGTCTGTTATTTGGAATTGGTCACGGGCACCAGCAGAACTTAACACATTCATTTTCATTTAGCGGCTGAAATGTCTTCGTTTTTAATGTCATGTGTGCAGCGTACGCGAGCCCTTTGCCTTTGTCATTTCTGCTCTTGAATGCAGGAAAGCAGGACTGCACTCAACTACACGAGATCAAGGACTTCAGAACGGGACGCCCAGGCCCAGATCGCCCCTAAAGCGCGGCATGTTTGTCCAGTGTGAGCGCAGTCTAACCACGCCCAGGCACGGCACGACACAGACCCGCACTCTTTAGCGCGGGTCTGATTTGTGATGCTGGATTTCATGTAAACACCCTGGATTATTTGCTTTTTGTCCGAGATGTGGAGATGATCAGTCTGTAAGAGCTGGAGCAAAGGTAAGCAGCTCACTCTAGCACCTTCACACCACAACGGTTTATTTAGTCGTGTTTTATTCAGAATCAGGATCAGAGACATAAACCAGCGCTTTTATCTGCTTCATTCAGTCGTGATATAATTTAAGGTTAGAGCAAAATCTCCATACATCTGCACGGGCGACTGACCTTGCAGAAAAACACTGCAGAATCGTTTCATGAATTGGAACAGTCTCATTACGTTTGAACTGCCAAATATCAGGGATGGGCATGATGTTCACGTTCATTTTAATGGACAAACTGAATGTATGTAAGGAGATGAGGCTGTGTCTGACACAAACACTGGAGTCTCGTCCTCACAGCCCCACGTCTGGGCTCTGACTCCTCCTGATCCGGTTTTTTGAGTGTCCTGGTTTGGTCATGGTGCAGGTAAACGCAGTATCCCGGTTACTGCTACATAAAGTTGAGTCACATGTAGGGCTGTCGCGGTGAGGGAGTTTCTCCTGTGGTGCGGTATAGCGGCTCAACAGCGTGATATGTGGTGATATCACACCCCCCACGCCACATCCCCCGGAGTTATAATATTTCCAGCTGCTCTGAAAACTCTCTGATGATGCGTTTGTTGCAAATCTACATGTACCTTGGTTGTCGTGTGGACAGAGCGTGTGCAGCGGGAGAATTAACATTTGGCTTTGGAAAAAGTGCTGCTGCATCTCTCCAGCTCTCACTGTGGCAGCTCGGGTCAGAGTCCTGGACCGGCTCGGGTCCCCACGGACTTAAGAGAGAGAACCCCGAGCACAAGCATGCGGAGCAGGTGTCTGCAAAGCTCGATCGGGCAACGGCCACACTTAACTCAGTGCAGCGTGGAAGTCTCGAAAAATGGACCCATGCAGGACTCTGGGTCGGGTCATGTGGTCATGTGCGGTAACTGCGGTGGCCCAACATCCACCTCGTTGGGCCTCTTAGTACCGCGGTGATTCATTTTTGCGGTTATTGCGACAGCCCAAGTCACATGTGTCCAAAAGACAAACACTTTTCAGCCTTTTCATCACAACAGGAGCCAAAATAAATAAAGTGACCAACATAAATAAAGTGGGTTAAATGTTAAATAAAGAGCTGCTCTAAACCTGCACACATCTGTAGAGTTCCGAGTCTTAGTCCATTTTATCAAGTCAAGTCTCAAGTCCTAAAAATAATGACTCAAGTCTGACTCAAATCCAAGTCACGACTCAAGTCTCACCTCTGCACAGAACAGAATCATCATCATCTCAAAGCTGCATTAAACACATCATCATGTTAAATGGGCTGATGTGGCTCTACAGGCGTTATGGTTTATTTATGTAGTAATAATAATGATCATCATTTTAATATAAAAACATTTATGATTAATTAAAAATCAATCATTAATTCTCCCAATGATCGATTAAGAAAATGTAATCGAATGTCCATCCTGACCAAATATAACCGGGCGAACTGGAATAATTACAGTTGCTACAGCAGGGACATTTTAAAATAATAAATAAAATAGTCTTAATTTCTGGGTGTCAGATTCTACAGGACAATATCACACAGATGGAGGCAGATCAAATTTAAATTGTTAAGATGCAAAATGATGTTGTGACACAGTGAGTGAACTCGCCTGAGGAGCTTTGAGATCCGTGCAGGTTTCAGGATGTTTTCTTCTGATTCAGTCCCGGTTCGTCCTGATCCAGACCTGGTTCTCGGACATGTTCCTCAGGGTGCTGCTCCTGTCCCTCTGGTGTTGGGGTGAGTTCTGACTCTTCTTCTTCACAGACTTTGACATAAAATGATGACGATGGTTTCATTTACAGAGTGATCTCTTCTGTCAGTCTTAAGACAATTATTCATATAATTAAACTAAAATAAAACTCAAATCTGACCTGGATCATGGTTCTCGTCCCAGTGCTGGCATTGCGTCAGGCCTAGGCCCACCCAAATCCCCCTAAAAACTTTTAAAAAAATACTAAGACACTCAGTGATTTAAGAATGTGTGAAATTAGCATCTTTTGAACATCAGCTTTATGAAACACTTTCCCTAAACCAAACAGTGCAGGGTTATGTTTCCAACTCGTCTGCTTCACTCATGGTCTGAACACACCGACCGAAAATGACTCACTAGTCCCAAAGAACACCTTCCCATAAAGCACTGCAGCCAAGTTTATAGGTCGATACAGTATTTAAATTTTGTCAAGTATCAGAAAATAATCACATCATCGGTGCTAAAATAATCGAAATATGTATTTATATGTAGTTTTAGTTTCTAATGTGACAAAATGAAGAAAACATACATTTATTTGAATTTGAACCTTCCTCTTTTCATGTTTCTGTTTAGGGAAATAAACAAAAGTGTTTTTATATGAAAACAGGATGAAATCTGATGAAGTGTGTGTGAAGCACAGAGGCTGCTCCACACTCTCTTCCTGTCCCTGTGCTTTAAGACTCACAACAGCGGCCATTTTGTGCACCGCTCTGTGTCATGTGACCAACATACACTATTTTGTGACATGAACTCTGTGTGCTGGGGTCCAGTGTGCAGGGGTCCAGGCAGAAAACAACAGGTCAGCAGGTAAGAACCAGCACCATCATTTTGTCGTTTCTTTGGCATGTTGTCTGTTCGATTGTTTATTTTTCCATTACAACATCTGAAAATCAGTGTGTTCATTACAACAATGAAATAATGTGCAGTGTTCAGTGTGTAAATATACGTGAACTGAAACCCAATGTTTCCAATTTCACAGAAGTTTAGCCTCAAACAGAGACTGATGATCTTACTGATGATATTACACACACACACACACACACACACACACACACACACACACACACACACACACACACACACACACACACACACACACACACACACACCAGTAGCTCCATTTCGTTGGTTGTTTTCTAACAATTTGACAATAGTCAAATGTGTAATGTTCAGTGTAGAAGTCAGGGACATCTAGAAAAGGACCAGACTCAGTCTTTTTTTATACCAGAAAAATGTATCAACTTCTCTCAAAATTGTCTTTGTAAAATAACTTATGATGAGATGTTGCATGAAGAGTCAGGATATGTGTTTGGTTAGTGTGTGTGTTGGTTGTGTGTTGGTTCGTTAGTGTGTGATTTGTGTGTGTTTGTGTGTGTAACATGGTTACCATAGTTTTATCTTGCACCCTGACCCTGAGTTTTAATATTATTCTCTTTTAATGTGATTTACTTCATATTGTGCAGCAGGACATAAGTCAACTCTTTTACAATATTTCTATGAAAAAATGTTTCGATGAAAAAAATCCTGCTTAATCCCATATGTAATGGTAAAGCCTGAAAGTTCTGCTTTCTGCCGATTTGAGGCACAGTGAAGAACTTTGGTCATAGCAGCTTTTTCCCTCTAAATACAAAGGTCGTCTTGGGCTTAAATTGAAGCTTATGAACTTGGGAGGTTTTTCATGTACATTTGAGGCAGTGATATATGCAATAAAATGCTTAAAAATTATCACTTTTGATGACAATTTGTCAGGCAGACAGACATTTGTTTGTCTTTTAGGACATGTTGAAGGTGATATTTGACAGTAGAAAGGCAACAAGCCCCAGAATATTTTTCTGATAGTTTCCCTCATGTGTCAGGATACACCATGTCAAATTTCAGGGTTATTTGACCATGTATGCAGTTACAGTACCTTAATATTTACAGTTACATAATTTCGCAAATAGCTTTTCTTAAAAAGTGTGTTTTTTGGGCCCTGAGACCAAACGGGGCCGAGTTGGGGTTGGTCCTTATCGACTTACGATGACCCAAGAAATAAGATAACAGGAAATAATAGTGAAAAAGCGGTAGTAAAAAACATCCTGAGGAGTGAACCTGGCTCCCGACCTATTATGTCTGTGTTCGCTCAGGTAAAGGGGCGGGGCCTCACTGCTCAGGTAAAGGGGCGGGGCTTCACTCTGTCTTTTGTCTGTTCAGAGCTCAGGCTGGTGGGAGGAGCCAGTCGCTGTGCTGGGACTGTGGAGGTGAAACATGAAGGAGAGTGGAGACGGATGGATGAGCGCTCATTACTCTGGGGCCTGGAGCACACAGCTGTTGTGTGTAGAGACCTGGACTGTGGCTTTGGAAATATCCAGATTTCATTTTTTAGAGAGTCCTGTGTGGGTGGTCTCAGCTGACTGTGTGGCGAAGTCTTCAGTGAGAGAATGTGTCGATGGTTCCTCCTTCTCCTCTGCCTGGGGTGTGGACGTATTTTGTTCAGGTAAAAGTCTGATTTTACATTTTTATGTCTCTCAAATGTTTTTTCTAGTTGCTCCAGAGGAGTGTCAGGTGTAAAATGTGACGTCCAACCAGAGTTAAGGTCACACACACAGAGACAGTAGGTCTTGTGTTGAACTTGTGAAGTTGTGGTTTTTCGTTTTATTGAAATTAAAATCAAAACATTAGACACACACCCACGTCTCACAACAGTAAAATTAATATTTACCACAGATACAGATATGGACAAAATTGTTGGTTCCCTCTGGTAAGGAAAGAAAAATCAACAATGGTCACTGAAACTGAGAAAAGCAATAATGAATAAAAAAAAAATCCTGACAAATAACCAATGAAAATCAAACACTGTTTTTGAATTGTTGTTCAACAGAATTATAAAAAAAAAAAAATAAAATAATGAAACTGGCCTGGACAAAAATGATGGTTCCCTTAACTTAATATTTTGTTACACAACCTTTTGAGACAAACTGCAATCAATGATTTCTGTCACTGTCAGTGAGACTTCTGCACTGATCAACTGGTATTTTGACCCATTTCTCGTGAGCAAACTGTTCTTGTTGCCTCAGGTTTGAAGGTTCCTTCTCCAGACGCATGTTTCAGCTCCTTTCACAGATGTTCAAGAGAACTGAGATCTGGACTCACAGAAGAACACTCCAGAACAGAACGCTCCAGAACAGAAGAACGCTAGAAGAACAGAAGAACGCTCCAGAACAGAAGAACGCTAGAAGAACGCTCCAGAACAGAAGAACGCTCCAGAACAGAAGAACGCTCCAGAACAGAAGAACGCTCCAGAACAGAAGAACGCTCCAGAACAGAAGAACGCTAGAAGAACGCTCCAGAACAGAAGAACGCTCCAGAACAGAAGAACGCTCCGGAACAGAAGAACGCTCCGGAACAGAAGAACGCTCCAGAACAGAAGAACGAACGCTCCAGAACAGAAAGAACGCTCCAGAACAGAAGAACGCTCCGCTCCAGAACAGAAGAACGCTCCAGAACAGAAGAACGCTCCAGAACAGAAGAACGCTCCAGAACAGAAGAACGCTCCGGAACAGAAGAACGCTAAGAACAGAAGAACGCTCCGGAACAGAAGAACGCTCCGGAACAGAAGAACGCTCCGGAACAGAAGAACGCTCCGGAACAGAAGAACGCTCCGGAACAGAAGAACGCTCCGGAACAGAAGAACGCTCCGGAACAGAAGAACGCTCCGGAACAGAAGAACGCTCTAGAACAGAAGAACGCTCTAGAACAGTCCAATGTTCTGTTCTCATTTTTGTGTGTTTTTATCTGTGTGTTTTGGGTCATTTTCCTGTTGAAGACCCATGACCTACAACTGGGACCAAACTTTCTGACACGAGGCGACACATTTTGTTCCATAACACTTTGATAGTTTTGAGATTCTGTTGTATTTTGCACAGATTCAAGACGCCCTGAGCCTGTTGCAGTCATTTCTGCGTCTGTGAACATTCTCCCAGAAGCTTTGTGGTTTGTCCATCTGCATCTTGACAAATTCCAGTCTCACTTTTTGATGATTTTCTCTCAGCAGTGGTGTCCTCACATGAAGTCCATTTTGGCTCAAACACTGATGGACGGTGTGATCTGACACTGATGTACCTCGCCCTTCAACTTCACATTTCATTTGTTTGGAGGTTGTTCTGGGCTCTTTGGTTTCATTCATATGATCAATTTCTTCAATTTGTCATCAATTTTCCTTTTGCAGTCGCGTCCAGGGAGGTTGGCTTCAGTCCTCTGGACCTTAAACTTCTGAAGAACATGTGTAACTGTAACTATCACAGGAACATCATGCTGCTTGGAGATGGTCTTATTGTCTTTATCTTTAACCTGTTTGTCTGTCATTTTCTTTCTAGTCTCCTAACACAGTTCTCTTCTTCTCTGTCTCTGGTCCATGTTCAGTGTTGTGTCCATCATGTCTCCAAACAGCACAATGACACATGTCGCCCTTTAAACAGACAGACAGACTGAGGACAAGTTTGAAGAACCTGTGATGCAGATTAGAGACACACTGAAGTTTAACATGTCCCTGTTGTCCAAGGATTTACAATCTTTTCTAGAGGAACCATCATTTTTGTCCAGGCCAGTTTCATTAGTTTGTTTTTGTAAATTATTCTTTGAACAACAATTCAAAAACAGTGTCTGATTTTCATTGGTTATTTGTCAGGAAATTTTTATTTATTATTTTTCAGTTTCAAGTTATTTCAGTGACCATTGTTAATTTTTATTTCCGTACCAGAGGGAACCAACTATTTTCTCCATGATGTCACATGTGTGTCCACAGACTCGGTGCAGTTGGTCTCGGGGTCCGGTCTGTGTTCAGGATCAGTGCAGATCTGGGACAGGTCCTGGACCGGGGTCTGTGACGGGGACTTGGACCAGCGGGGGGCAGAGGTGCTGTGCAGGGAGCTGGGCTGTGGGGCTCCTTCTCTCCTCCAGGGGGCGCTCTCTCCTCTGGGGCAGACGTTCCACTGTGAGGGTCATGAGTCTGCTCTGATGGACTGTCCCCGCTCCAACTCAAGGACCTGCTCCTCTGGAGCCACTGTCCACCTCATCTGCTCAGGTAAAGGGGCGGGGCTTCACTGCTCAGGTAAAGGAGCAGGGCCTCACTCTGTCTCTTGTTTGTTCAGAGCCGATCAGGTTGGTGGGAGGAGCCAGTCGCTGTTCTGGGACTGTGGAGGTCAAACACAGAGGAGAGTGGAGACGGATGTATGTTCCCTCTACTCGTTGGGACCAGGAGGACACAGCTGCTGTGTGCAGAGACCTGGACTGTGGCTCTGCTGTTTATGGAGAACAGAGAGGTGGATTTCCATGGACTGGTGTGTGGGAGGTATCAACTGACTGTGTGAGGAAGTCTTCAGTGAGAGAATGTTCCACTGGTTCATCCTCCACTTCCTTTGGTCTGGAGGTGAAGTGTTCAGGTAAAAATCTGATCTTACACTTTTATGTCTCTCTGTTTTGTTTTTGTTTTTTTCTAGTTGCTCCAGAGAAGTGTCAGGTGTAAAATGTGTGATGTCCAGTCAGAGTTTAGATCACACACACACCGCTCACAACAGTAATATAAATACACGGAGGAAAATAAGTATTTGAACACTCTGCTATTTTTGCAAGTTCTCCCACTTAGAAATCATGGAGGGTCTGAAATTTTCATCGTAGGTGCATGTCCACTGTGAGAGACATAATCTGAAAAGAAAAATCCAGAAATCCCAGTGTATGACTTTTTAACTATTTATTTGTATGATACAGCTGCAAATAAATATTTGAACACATGTCTATCAGCTAGAACTCTGACCCTCAAAAACCTGTTAGTCGCCTTTAAAAAGTCCACCTCCACTCCATTTATTCTCCTAAATCAGATGCTCCTGTTTGAGGTCGTTCGCTGCATAAAGACGCCTGTCCACCTCATACAATCAGTAAAACTCCAACTACTAACATGACCAAGACCAAAGAGCTGTCCGCAGACACCAGAGACTAAACTGTCCTCCTCCACCAGGCTGGAAAGGGCTACGAGGAAATTGCCAAGCAGCTTGGTGAAAAAAAGGTCCACTGTTGGACCAATCATTAGAACATGGAAGAAGCTAAACGTGACTGTCAATCTCCCTCGGACTGGGGCTCCACAAAAGATCTCACCCCGTGGGGTCTCAACGATCCTAAGAAAGGTGAGGAATCAGCCCAGAACCACACGGGAGTCTGAAGTTTGCCAATGACCATTTGGATGATCCAGAGGAGTCATGGGAGAAAGTCATGTGGTCAGATGAGATCAAAATAGAACTTTTTGGTCATAATTCCACTTACCGTGTTTGGAGGAAGAAGAATGATGAGGACCATCCCAAGAACACCGTCCCCCCTGTGAAGCACGGAGGTGGTCACATCAGGCTTTGGAGGTGTTTTTCTGCACTTGGGACAGAGCAACTGCACTTTAAAGAGAGGACGACCGGGGTCATGGATTGTGAGATTTTAGGGAACAACCTCCTTCCCTCAGTTAGAGCACCGAAGATGGGTCGAGGCTGGGTCTTCCAACATGACAATGACCCGAAGCACACGGCCAGGAGAACCAAGGAGTGGCTCTGTAAGAAGCACATCAAGTTCTGGCATGGCCTGGTCAGTCTCCAGACCTAAACCCTATAGAAAATCTTTGGAGGGAGCTCAAACTCCATGTTTCTCAGCGACAGCCGAGAAAAATGATCTAGAGAAGATCTGTGTGGAGGAGTGGGCCAAAATCTCTCCTGCAGTGTGTGAAAAACTACAGGAAATATACCAAATATTAACATTGATTTTCTCATGTGTTCAAATATTTATTTGCAGCTGTATCATACAAATAAATAGTTAAAAAGTCATACACTGTGATTTCTGGAATTTTCGTTTCAGATTATGTCTCTCACAGTGGACATGCACCTACGATGAAAATTTCAGACCCTCCATGATTTCTAAGTGCGAGAACTTGCAAAAATAGCAGAGTGTTCAAATACTTATTTTCCTCGCTGTATTTAGCACACACATATATATCTGCACTACAGCGGTGATGTCACATGTGTGTCCACAGACTCGGTGCGGTTGGTCTCGGGGTCCGGTCTGTGTTCAGGATCAGTGCAGATCTGGGACGGGTCCTGGACCGGGGTCTGTGACGGGGACTTGGACCAGCGGGGGGCAGAGGTGCTGTGCAGGGAGCTGGGGCTGTGGGGCTCCTTCTCTCTCCTCCAGGGGGCGCTCTCTCCTCTGGGGCAGATGTTCCACTGTGAGGGTCATGAGTCTGCTCTGATGGACTGTCCCCGCTCCAACTCAAGCACCTGCTCCTCTGGAGCCACTGTCAACCTCACCTGCTCAGGTAAAGGGGCGGGACTTCACTCTGTATCTTGTCTGTTCAGAGCCAATCAGGTTGGTGGGAGGAGCCAATCGCTGTTCTGGAACTGTGGAGGTGAAACTCGGAGGAGAGTGGAGACGAGTGTCTCAACTCTATAGACTCTGGGACCAGGAGGACACAACTGTTGTGTGCAGAGACCTGAACTGTGGCTCTGCTGTGCGTGGAGAAAGCAGAGATGATTTTCCCCAGAGTCCTGTGTGGGAGATCACATCTGACTGTGTGAGGAAGTCTTCAGTGAGAAGATGTGTCATCGGTTCCTCCTCCTCCTCTTCCTTGGGTGTGGACGTGAAGTGTTCAGGTAAAAGTCTGATCTTACATTTTTATGTCTCTCGGATGTTTTTTCTAGTTGCTCCAGAGGAGTGTCAGGTTTAGACCTGGTTTAGACCTGGTTTAGAACTGGTTTAGTCCTGGTTTTCTGACTTGTTGTTGTGCTGTGTCCTGCTGTTTCAGAGGCGGTGTCAGGGAGAGGCTCCAACAGAGAGTGAGACCGGTTCATATCTGAGTTGGTCCAGTTTCTTCTTCTTCATCATCATCATCTTTTATTGTCATTAACTGTTGGAAGTGAAACAATCTTGTGTGGATGTTTGTAATAATTTGTTTATATTCAGTAAATTCTATGAAAACATAAATAAATGTTTTAAAATGAATTAATCCTTTTTTCACACTGAGCTCGTCCCGGCCGGTCGTGTATCGTGGGCACAGAGAATCAGCCAATCAGAATGAGCCTGTCAGTCATGTGCTGCTGTGACGAAGCACGGCCAATCAGAACGCAGAGATTAGTGCTCGTTCATATAATCATTTTACTCCAGACCCGAGTTCAAACCCTGTCTGGACCAGAAGACGCAAGATTCAGTAGTGAACAAAAACTAAGATTTGATCAAATGTTTAAGTTCACTGTCACTGATTGTACATTTAAAAAGGACAGATTAAGTCTGAAGTTAAAGTATCGAGCTGCATTATGTAGAAAGTCCCGTCCAGCTGATGGTTCTGTCATAAAACAGTTTAGAGTTGATCATTATGTTGGTTACAGATCGTGTCTTGTTTGAGATCTAAAAAGGTTCATACTGCACAGTGCAGCTCACAAATGGTTTTTGCAGCACCTCAGCCAAATAAACCTGGAGTGTCCAAGAGATAAAAAGAAAAACTACAGAGGGTCTGGTTTTCAGAAGAACAACAACGATCGCCTCAAACTCTGAAATTATCACATGACTAAAGTTACGGTTTTACTGAAACGAATCACCGTATCACTGTATCAGAAACGGTGGCTGGTGTCACGAAGTCAAGTGGGCAGTAAAAACAAGGAGGTGGAGCACCATGTCTGAAGTTACAGCAGTCGATTGAAGAATGGCAAGTGTAAAAAGTATTTTCATGGACCGATGATGAGGTTTAGATGTTACTGAAAGTAACACTTGATTTTAAGACGAGCGCAGCTGCTCAGAGTGTGAAAGGCACTAGTCACAGTGACGTGGTCCAATAAGAACGGCAACTAGAGCTCCTACGTCAGAGTATCAATGTTTTCAGGCGTCCACACAGTGCTGGATCAGATCCGTACTAGGCTCCGTTCACACTAGTACGTATGCAGTGAACAGAGAGAAAATAGTGCCAAGCCATTATGAGGTCTGAGGTTTTATGACAATTGTATCACTCTTTTGAACACATGTTGTTTTGAGAAGAAAAACACTTTATTTTCGTGACCTCAGTCAACTTGCCAGACTACTTTTGTCAGCACCAAAACAGGACAGGATCTGGGCTCAGCGGACGCTGTCGGGGGTAAGTCAGTGTGGATGCACCACACTGCTGACGGGGATGACGTACAGATTCATGTCAAAAAACTCAAACTATCCCTTTAAGGTCAGAGCAAAACCATTGTACATCTGCACAGGCGACTGATGGTGCGGAAAAACACTGCGGAATCAGTTTCATTAATTGGAACAGTTTCATTACATTTGACTGGGTGAAATTGCCAAATATAACCAGACTATTGAAACTTGAATAATTATAGTTGCTACAGCAGGTACATTTTAAAATGATAAATCAAATAGTCGTAATTGCTGGGTTTCAGATGGCATCACAACATTCTCTAGGACAATATCACACACGCAGGCAGAAGAAATTTAAAATGTTAAAATGTAAAATAGTCATGAGCTCTGGGTAGTGACCGAAAGGACGAGATCGCGGATACAAGCGAGTTTCCTCCGTAGGGTGGCTGGGCGCTCCCTCAGAGACAGGGTGAGGAGCTCAGTCACATGGGAGGAGCTCGGAGTAGAGCCGCTGCTCCTCCACATCGAGAGGAGCCAGTTGAGGCTCAGGCATCTGTTCCGGATGTCTCCTGGGCGCCTCCCTCGGGAGGTGTTCTGGGCATGTCCCACCGGGAGGAGGCCCCGGGGAAGACCCAGGACACGCTGGAGGGACTATGTCTCTCGGCTGGCCTGGGAACACCTCAGGGTCCCCCCGGAGGAGCTGAAGGACGTGTCTGGGGTGAAGGAAGTCTGGGAGTCCCTGCTTAGGCTGCTGCCCCCGCGACCCGGCCCCGGATAAGCGGACGAAAATGGATGGATGGATGGATGGAAAATGTAAAATAATGATGATTATTATTATGCACAGGAGTGTCAGTTAGTTGAGGCCCTCTACAGTCTCACTCAGTCACAGAGACTCGGACTCGCAGCTCACTCCAGTCGGGTCACGTGACTCTGGCTCTGGGTGAACAAACTCTAAAGGATAAACACAGATAAACTTTGGATTATTTGCTTTTTGTCTGAGATGTGGACATGATCAGTCTATAAGAGCTGGAGCAAAGGTAAGCAGCTCACTCTAGCACCTTTACACCACAACGGTTTATTTAGTCGTGTTTTCTTCAGAATCAGGATCAGAGACATAAACCTGCACTTTTATCTGCTTCATTCAGTCGTGTCGTGTCTAGTTAAACTCCTGTTGCTGTACGCCATTGTTTTCCACTTTAAGGTAATCATAGAGACACTCGCTTAGCAGACTGGACCAGACAAAGAGCACTGACTAGGAAGTTTATTTTAGCTCGAAATAGTGATCAACAGTGAAACAGTGATCGTATAGATATCATTACCTGGTCCCCGAAGGGTTGACCAGGTTTTGTATTCACCCTGTGCGTGTGTGTCTGTCATTCCGCCATTTATGGACCGATTGTCACCAAATGTGGTACACGGGTCAAGCCCTCGTGCCCGATGCTGCAAAAAAAGTTTGGTGACGATCTGAGGTCATTTGAGGTCACACGGGTCAATTGAAAAGTCAAGCCATTGTAAAGGATCGGCAATTTCGGCAACTCCTGAACCAGTCCAATGAGGTTCATTTGGCCCATTGAAATTTTGGGGCCATGCTCACTTTTTCTGAAGCCTTAATTTATAAACATGTTTGAGAGACCATAACTTCATAAAAAAATAGAGCTAGAAAGCTGAAATTTTGTATTATTGTAGATTCAGCCAAATCTGAGATGGCTCATAGGGGAGGGCGGCTGATTTCATATGTACAGAAGCCGAGAGGGGTCACAACAAACGCCGCAACAAATACAAATGCGACAACACAACAAAAAGCCACAACACACCAAAAAAACCCACAACACATTAAAAAGCCACAATGGAAGTGACCGCGGGACTCTATTTTCCGACGGACTGATCAAGCGGCAAGTGAAGAAGAAGAACTACAACGTGAAACGAATAATAATAAAACAATAAATTACTTTTACTTACGCTTCAAACTTCTCCGTTCCTTTACTTTTCACTTTGTAGTTCTTCTTCTTCACTTGCCCCTTGATCGGTCCGTCGGAAAATAGAGTCCCGCGGTCACTTCCGTTGTAGCTTTTTAATGTGTTGCGGCTTTTTAATAAGTTGCGGCTTTTTAATGTGTTGTGGCTTTTTAATGTGTTGTGGCTTCTTAATGTGTTGTGGCTTTTTAATGTGTTGTGGCTTTTTAATGTGTTGTGGCTTTTTAATGTGTTGTGGCTTTTTAATGTATTGCGGCTTTTTAATGTGTTGTGGCATGTTAATGTGCTGTGGCTTTTTGTTGTGTTGCGGCTTTTTAATGTGTTGCGGCTTTTTGATGTGTTGTGGCTTTTTGATGTGTTGTGGCTTTTTAATGTGTTGCGGCTTTTTAATGTGTTGCGGCTTTTTAATGTGTTGCGGCATTTGCATTTGTTTTGTGGCGTTTGTGTTTGTTGCGGCGTTTGCACTAAAATAGAGTCTCACTGTCACTTCCGTTGCGGCTTTTTAATGTGTTGTGGCTTTTTAAAGTGTTGTGGCTTTTTATTGGGTTGTGGCTTTTTAATGTGTTGTGGCTTTTTAATGTGTTGTGGCTTTTTAATGTGTTATGGCATGTTAATGTGCTGTGGCTTTTTGTTGTGTTGCAGCTTTTTAATGTGTTGTGGCTCTTTGATGTGTTGTGGCTTTTTGATGTGTTGTGGCTTTTTAATGTGTTGCGGCTTTTTGATGTGTTGTGGCTTTTTAATGTGTTGCAGCTTTTTAATGTGTTGCGGCATTTGTGTTTGTGTTGTGGCGTTTGCGTTAAAATAGAGTCCTGCGGTCACTTCCGTTGCGGCTTTTTAATGTGTTGGGGCTTTTTAATGTGTTGTGGCTTTTTAATGTGTTGCGGCATTTGCATTTGTGTTGTGGCGTTTGTATTTGTTGCGGCATTTACAGTAAAATAGAGTCCCGCGGTCATTTCCGTTGTGGCTTTTTGTTGTGTCGTCGCATTTGTATTTGTTGTGGCGTTTGCGTTTGTTGTGACATCTCTGGGCTTCCGTACGTATGGACTGACCCTATAACTTCTGAACCATCTGCGGGCTAAAATATTCACCCAATCATCACACAAGTCGGCACACACGTATCCAAGGTATGGGCTGGGCTCCTCATAAGCTGCACCAATGCTTCACGGGGGACCAGGTTGTGCTCTCTGATTGAGCTTGTTCAAAGTTAGAGCAAACAAGCATCGTGTACATCTACACGGGCGACTAATCGGAACAGTCTCATTACACTTGACTCGGGTGAAATTTCCAAATATAACCGGACGATTCAAACAACTAATTACAGTTGCTACAGCAGGGACATTTTAAAATAATAAATAAAATAGTCGTAATTTCTGGGTGTCAGATTCTACAGGACAATATCACACAGATGGAGGCAGATCAAATTTAAATTGTCAAGATGCAAAATGATGTTGTGACACAGTGAGTGAACTCGCCTGAGGAGCTTTGAGATCCGTGCAGGTTTCAGGACGTTTTCTTCCACAGTCTCGCTCCTGTTTGGACCAGTGTGAGAAAGAAACATAAACTGATTCAGTCCCGGTTCGTCCTGATCCAGACCTGGTTCTCGGACATGTTCCTCAGGGTGCTGCTCCTGTCCCTCTGGTGTTGGGGTGAGTTCTGACTCTTCCTCTTCACAGACTTTGACATAAAATGATGACGATGGTTTTATTTACAGAGTGATCTCTTCTGTCAGTCTTAAGACAATTATTCATATAATTAAACTAAAATAAAACTCAAATCTGACCTGGATCATGGTTCTCGTCCCAGCGCTGGCATCGCATCAGTATTTCTGTTTAAAAGCTCCACACGGCGTCTGTGGTTTTACTCTAGTGTTCCAGGTTCATCTGGTCCTCTGATAATTCATGTTATTAAGTACTTTTTTCAGACCAAGAGTTTGTTTTCAAACCTGACAGTTTGGACTGCTCCCTGCATCTTCCTCAGTGTCAGACTAAACACAACAAAATATTTTATTGGAAGTGTCTTTCCTTTAGATGGTGACGACGTTTTTGGAACCCCCCCAAAATATAAAAAAAAATACTAAGACACTCAGTGAGTGAAGAATGTGTGGAATTAGCTTCTTTTGAACATCAGCTTTATTAAACACTTTCCCAAAAACCAAACAGTGCAGGTTTATGTTTCCAACTCGTCTGCTTCACTCATGGTCTGAACACACCGACCGAAAATGACTCACTCGTCCCAAAGAACACCACCATCCAGGCGGGGACTATGGAAGGGACAGTGATGGTGGCATTGATGCACGATCTGCTCTGGGTTTGCAAGTTCCTCCTAATGGCCCTTTTCCCAATGCAGCTCACCTGGGTAATCTCCCTTTTAGTGATGGTTGGGATTGGGGATGCTGCCTTTCCCCTCAAACCATACTTGCTGAGACCCTTTCCTGCACAGAACCTCACAAGACCAAAGAGGATCTTCAGTTACAGACTGTGAAGAGCCAGGATGGTAGCTGAAAACATCTTTGGGATTTTGGCCTCAAGATCTTGTTGTGGCAGCCTGTATTCTGCAACAATCCTAACGAGAACCAAAGACTGCTGGATGAGCACGTGGGGGGGACGAGGGGCATCAGGAAAATGGCTGGGAAATGTACTGCGGGTATTTTAACTCCCCCAAGGCAGTGTGTGACGGCAACTTAGAATGGTGTAATAAAGTTTCCTAGATTTCTACTTCATCTTTATATTTGTGGTTTAATGAGGTTTAAATCTATTAACACGCACATAACACTTTTTTTTTTTTTTAAATAAGGTAAATTCACCTATAACATACATTACGAGTGTGATTAAAACCTTATGTATGTACAGGTAATAAGGCCTTTGTGTTTATATTTTGATAGTACACAGAAGTGACAAAACGTTTCTTTATTGCATGACTTAAATATTACATGTTAGAGCAGTTTGGACTACAACATCACATAAAACAATACAAAAGTTGGAAAGATGGATGATACTTTTCCTGCTTGTATGCATTAATTACTTACCGTCATAACCCAAAGTTTCGACAGTTGCACGCCACGCCTTCTCCTTTCATAACTGGTCCTTGTAGAATTGGTGTCTGACATTATAAATGACGTTATATTTCTCCACTTCGAGGATTAACTTTTCGTCATCCATCATTAACCTTTCCTTTGACACAGTGCGCGTTGTTTATGTTGTTGTCTTGACTTTGGTGAAGTTATTTTGAAAGGGCATCGGAAGTTTATTTTGACATCGCGTGTCTATTTCCTGTCTTTCCCCTGCTGAAAACCTCAGAGACGCTTCGCTGACGCTGCAAAAATAAAACTCCAACCTCTCGAGCAGCGCGTCAGCGTCAGACGCTCGTTGGACGTGTGTATGACACTGCCGGTGTTACACTGTCAGACCGGTTAAAATGGAGTTCTAAAGCTGTGCGTCTGCTGCTCGTGTGCTGCGCTGCTGCGTTTGCGCGCCATTGCACTTTGGTATGAATTGGGGGTTAGCGACATAAACCGAATACGGAACAAATACGCAATGGATCTGCAAAGCAGACTGACTCTGGGTGGATTTGGTGGACCAAAAGCAAATCTGCTGCGGATCTCGATGCTGTCAGGGTGTGGTTCTCCTGTGCGTCCGGCGCCCCCTGGTGGTGACTCTCACACACCTCTGTGTAGTTTTAGTTTGTAATATGACAAAATGAAGAAGACATTTTTATTTGAATTTGAACCTGCCTCTTTTCATGTTTCTGTGTTGGAAAACACACAAGTGTTTTTATATGAAACATGATGAAATCTGAGACATCGCGCTGCGTCACACTCTCTTCCTGTCCCTGTGCTTTAAGACTCACAACAGCGGCCATTTTGTGACATGAACTCTGTGTGCAGGGGTCCTGTGTGCAGGGGTCCAGGGAGAAAACGACAGCCCAGGAGGTAAGAACCACTCAGCAACACACTCATACAGACCAGGAATCTAACCCACAACCTCCTCACTGTGTGTTTGTGCAGTTTTGTCTCACTTTCTGTTTCTGTGTCGTCGTCTTTCTCCAGTGATGTGTGTAAACCTGCACCTTTATGATGTCTGTGTTTGCTCAGGTAAAGGGGCGGGGCTTCACTCTGTCTCTTGTCTGTTCAGAGCTCAGGTTGGTGGGAGGAGCCAGTCGCTGTTCTGGGGCTCTGGAGGTGAAACATGAAGGAGAGTGGAGAAAAGTGTTTGACCGCAAATCACTCTGGGGTCACGAGGCCACAGCTGTTGTGTGCAGAGACCTGGACTGTGGCTCTGCTCTTTATGGAGAAAAGAAATTTGAGTTTTCAAGTCGTCCTGTGTGGTTGGTCTCATCTGATTGTGTGAAGAAGTCTTCAGTGAGAGAATGTGTCTCTGGATTTTACTCGTTCTCCTTCTGGCATGTGGAGGTGAATTGTTCAGGTAAAAGTCTGATCTTACATTTTTATGTCTCTCAGACGTCCAGTCAGAATTTAGATCACACACACACAGACAGTAGATCTTGTGATGTTGTAGTTTCTCATTTTACTCAAATCAAAATCAGAACATTAGACACACACACGTCTCACAACAGTAATATAAATATTTAACACACATATATATCTGCACTACAGCGGTGATGTCACATGTGTCCACAGAGTCGGTGCGGTTGGTCTCGGGGTCCAGTCTGTGTTCAGGATCAGTGCAGATCTGGAACGGGTCCTGGACCGGGGTCTGTGACGGGGACTTGGACCAGCGGGGGGCAGAGGTGCTGTGCAGGGAGCTGGACTGTGGGGCTCCTTCTCTCCTCCAGGGGGCGCTCTCTCCTCTGGGGCAGACGTTCCACTGTGAGGGCCATGAGTCTGCTCTGATGGACTGTCCCCGCTCCAACTCAAGGACCTGCTCCTCTGGAGCCACTGTCAACCTCACCTGCTCAGGTAAAGGGGCGGGGCCTCACTGCTCAGGTAAAGGGGCGGGGCCTCACTGCTCAGGTAAAGGGGCGGGGCTTCACTCTGGAGATAATTTTGCCTCTTTAATATTCACTAATACACAGAGTGTGATCTACAAATAGTCATTGGTTTGTTCGTGTGTTGTGATCCACAAATACCATCCATCCATTTTCTTCCTCTTATCCAGGGCTGGGTCTCGGGGGCATCAGTCTAAGCAGGGACTCCCAGAGTTTATTCACCCCAGACACTTCCTCCAGCGCCTCCAGGTCAGGTCCCAGGAAGTCTGGGAGTCTCTGCTCAGGCTTCTGCTCCCGAGACCCGACCCCAGATAAGCAGAAGAAAATTGATGGATGGTATTTGTGGATCAAAACACACGAACAAACCAATGACTATTTGTAGATCATCCGCCGTGCATTTGTGAATATTAATGAGACAAAAGTATCTCCATATCACTCTGTCTCTTGTCTGTTCAGAGCCGCTCAGATTGGTGGGAGGAGCCAGTCGCTGTTCTGGGACTCTGGAGGTGAAACACAGAGGAGACTGGGGACGAGTGTATGAGCCCTTTATACAGTGGGACCAGGAGTCTACAGCTGCTGTCTGCAGAGACCTGGACTGTGGCTCTGCTGTTTATGGAGGATACAGAGAGGATTTTCCAGAGAGTCCTGTGTGGAGCTTCTATCCTGACTGTGTGAAGAAGTCTTCAGTGAGAGGATGTGTCTTTCGTTTATCCTCCTCTCCATATGGTCTGGAGGTGAAGTGTTCAGGTAAAAGTCTGATCTTACATTTTTATGTCTCTCAGAAAGAGAAAAGAGAAAAAGAGAGAGATTTTTGATTTTGAACAGACCTTTATTGTGTCCATCAATAAGAGTTTCCTCTTCTTTAAAGAGGCTACCACCCCCTAAAGCCCCAGTGCTCCTCAAAGTCCTCCTCATCACTGTTCAGGGACTAGAAGCCAAACTCTACTCCATGAAATATGAGTCTGACCTGCACCATCCTGACAAACAGACTCACACTGACGCTGAGCCTGCAGCCTCCTCCTCCTGCTCACAGACACCGCCATCTTGGTCTGTCCTAACAGGAAGCTCAGGAGCTGGCCCCTCCTCCTGCTCCACACAGAGTATCACATGGTCTCTCTGGGCCCACAGAACCCCCCCCCCAGAAGTGCAGACATACAGTGTCTGAGGCAGGACACGGTCCAAGTGAGCTAGAGCCACTCTGTTGTTCTTACAGTGAGACCATGTGTACTGTCTGTCACCTGGATGCAGAGTCCTCCACACGTCCTCCAGGCTGTGAGCCTCTATGAGCCTCTGCAGCCTGAGGGAGGAGGCAGGGTGGAGCTCAACCTGGATCTGGTCCAGTTGTGGCTCTGTAACCCCTTGAGAGGACAAAGTGACACAAACAGAGACAGAGACAGTAGATCTTGTGTTGAACTTGTGAAGTTGTAGTTTCTCGTTTTACTCAAATCAAAATCAGAACATTAGACACACACACGTCTCACAACAGTAATATAAATATTTAAAACACATTTATATCTGCACTACAGCGGTGATGTCACATGTGTCCACAGACTCGGTGCGGTTGGACTCGGGGTCCGGTCTGTGTTCAGGATCAGTGCAGATCTGGGACGGGTTCTGGACCGGGGTCTGTGACGGGGACTTGGACCAGCGGGGGGCAGAGGTGCTGTGCAGGGAGCTGGACTGTGGGGCTCCTTCTCTCCTCCAGGGGGCGCTCTCTCCTCTGGGGCAGACATTCCACTGTGAGGGTCATGAGTCTGCTCTGATGGACTGTCCCCGCTCCAACTCAAGCACCTGCTCCTCTGGAGCCACTGTCAACCTCACCTGCTCAGGTAAAGGGGCGGGGCCTCACTGCTCAGGTAAAGGGGCGGGGCTTCACTGCTCAGGTAAAGGGGCGGGGCTTCACTCTGTCTCTTGTTTGTTCAGAGCCCCTCAGGTTGGTGGGAGGAGCCAGTCGCTGTAATGGGACTGTGGAGGTGAGACACAGAGGAGAGTGGAGACGGCTGCATGAGACCTTTACACTCTGGGACCAGGAGCTTACAGCTGCTGTGTGCAGAGCCCTGGACTGTGGCTCTGTTGTTTATGGAAAAGAGAGACTTGATTTTCCATGGAGTCCTGTGTGGAACGTCTCATCTAAGTGTATGAAGAAGTCTTCAGTGAGAGGATGTGTCTATGGTTCCTTCTCCTCTTCCTGGGGTGTGGACGTGATGTGTTCAGGTAAAAGTCTGATCTTACCTGTCTGTGTATTTTGACGGGGACAAGCGCCTATGCTCGTGTAGAGCATCAAAAAACAGGATGGATCCTATTTTGTGATTTTCTGAAATCTCCGCGTGCAGGACGTGCTGCTCCATACGAGCGTCTAGCACGTGCAGTGGAGCCGCCCTCATTACTTTACATGCATTCTATGTGTCCAAAAGTTGCAGTTTTTACGCTCGCATGGGGTGAAATACACGTGCATGGCTACACGTGCCCAGTCAAGTTTGGTCGTCTTTCCCATTGACAAACCCAGAGTCAGTGCTGCGCGTGTTCGTCCTGCTGGAACTTCAGGTGGAGTCTTCTTTGTGTTGACGCGTGGCTGTGTTTTCACGAGGTAACGACACGGGCACATCCTCCATCTCTGGGCGGCCCTCTTCTCTCCTACTTGCCATTTCTACAGGTGATGCGCAGCACTCACCCTCCACACCTTTTCTTTTGCGCCAAAGCGAAGCAGTGACATACAGGCACAACGCCACAATGCGCAAACTGGACCCGTGGAGACCGTGCAGTGCGCACACGTCCCGAACTGTGACAAGCGAACCGAACAGTTTGGCTTTTTTTTAATAAACCATGCCACACTTAGTCTCCATCTTAGCTCGAGCTCAGACTCACTGCACCAAGGCTCGAGGAGAACAGTAGAGGTGTGTTAGTGATGGTGTGAGGCGCTTCATTAGATTGGAGTTACTTGAGGTAGGACAGGATTGTTCTCCCAGGGCACAGTTCAATCAATCAATCAAACTTTATTTATAGAGCACTTTTCATACCAAAAAAAGAAAAGTATCATAAAGTGCTAAGAAGTTACACTTAACATCCACATTCTGTCCCTTTATTTTAATGAGGGAGAAATAGTGTTTGTATTTCCAGTTTGAAAACGCTGCCTTTGAATGTCACTGGCTCGTCGTCGCCATTGTCACATTCTCGTTGAGTTTGTCTCATTGTTCGGAAAGAAACAACAAGGCAGCGTGAGCAGAGACTCCGCCCACCCAACTTCTTCTCCAGTCATCTTGGCCCTGCTCCGTCCTGAGCTCTCCCGCTCCTGCTGATGATGTTGAGTCTGTCCCCTGCGTGAAGCCTGACACCTAGAATCCTGGATCCTGACGACCCAAACCAAACCTCACTTCCTTCCAAAATCCTTGAACATTTTGTATCCACCCAGCTTCAAGATTACCTTCACACCAATCAGTTGTACGAATTCTTCCAGTGCAGTTTTCACACCCACCACAGCACAGAAACAGCCCTCATCAAAGTTACAAATGACCTCCTCCTCGGCTCAGACTCCGGATCACTCTTCATCCTCCTCCTCCTCGGCCTCTCATTCCATTCTCCTCCATCGTCTTCACTTCATTGGCATCATCAGTTCAGTTCCGTCCCGGTTCCTACCTCTCAAATCAATCCCAGTACATTTTCATGAATAAATGTTCATCTCACATCACACCGGTTACCCAAGGAGTCCCTCAAGGCTCAGTGCTCAGTCCTCTCTTCTTCATCCTCTACACGCTTCCCCTTGGTCACGTCATCTGCCAACGTGGACTCAGATTTCACTGTTATGCCGACGACACTCAGCTTTATCTCTCCACCAAAACCATCACCACTGCTTTCACCTCCAACTGCTCAAGTTGCCTCCTGGATCCTGGATGACCACCAATTTCCGCAAACTCAACTGCAAAAAGTCTGAAATCATCTTTATCGGTCTCAAACCTCCTCACTCCCACAGTCAAATCAAAGCACCGGACCTTGGGGGACCGAGCCTTTGCTGTGGCCACTCCCACCCTCTGGAACTGTCTCCCCGTTCACATCAGAAACTCAGACTCACTACACCTTAAAAAAAAAGAGAAACTGCTCAGAACTCACCTTTTCCTCACAGCCTCCAGCCCCCACACGACTGCTTCTCATGGCTGTCAGTCCTGTCCTTTTTTTACTCTTTACTATGAAGCGTCTTTGTGTTACCATGAAAAGTGCTATAAAACACACGTATTATTATTATTATTATTATTATTATTATTATTATTATTATTATTATTGGTTCAGAGTGATGATGTCACATGTGTGTCCACAGACTCGGTGCGGTTGGTCTCGGGGTCCGGTCTGTGTTCAGGATCAGTGCAGATCTGGGACGGGTCCTGGACCGGGGTCTGTGACGGGGACTTGGGCCAGCGGGGGGCAGAGGTGCTGTGCAGGGAGCTGGGCTGTGGGGCTCCTTCTCTCCTCCAGGGGGCGCTCTCTCCTCTGGGGCAGACGTTCCACTGTGAGGGCCATGAGTCTGCTCTGATGGACTGTCCCCGCTCCAACTCAAGCACCTGCTCCTCTGGAGCCACTGTCAACCTCACCTGCTCAGGTAAAGGGGCGGGGCTTCACTGCTCAGGTAAAGGGGCGGGGCTTCACTCTCTCTCTTGTCTGTTCAGACCCAATCAGGTTGGTGGGAGGAGCCAGTCGCTGTAATGGGACTCTGGAGGTGAAATATGAAGGAGAGTGGAGACGAGTGTTTGAGCACTTTAGACTCTGGGGCCATGAGGACACAGCTGCTGTGTGCAGAGACCTGGACTGTGGCTCTGCTGTTAATGAAGAAAGCAGAGATGATTTTCCACAGAATCCTGTGTGGTTGGTCACACCTGAATGTGTGAAGGAGTCTTCAGTGAGAGAATGTGTCTATGGTTCAGTCTCCTCTTCCGGGGGTGTGAACGTGATGTGCTCAGGTAAAAGTTTGATGTTACATTTTTATGTCTCTGAGGTGTTTTTTTCTAGTTGCTTCAGAGGAGTGTCAGGTGTAAAATGTAGAAACAGTGTTTTTCCAAGTAAAACAAGCAATATTCAGCCTTACTTGGCCTGCAAATCACCGAATGCACCCAGAGCCAGAGTTATGAACTATTTTCATCCACAGAGATCAAAAGCATAACTACACTGTTACAACAGCGCAGGCAGACAGCACATTCAGCAAACGCACTGATATCAGAACATTACAGACATGTGCAGGCCACATGGCGGCGCTTATACACGTTGAAAACCAGAGATGAGCCATCAAACAGATACTAGATGAGCTGCACTTACGATAAGTAGCGAGAGCAGAGGGCTGTGTCCATTATCGCCGTGCTGATGCTTTTGAATGATCTGTAATCTTCAAACACACGTGTCCCTCTCGATGTAGCCGTCTGTTTGTGCTCCCGTCACAAAAGAGTCACCAAATAATGTTGTGTATCCATAAAATCCTTAAAAATCTGCATATTTCCTCACGTCTGTTGAAAACAGTGAGTATTCGAGCATGTGTCAGCCATAAACCAATGAAATGTCAGGACAGTGTTTACGGCCGTCTCACACACTGCTTCTGATTGGTTAACTTTACAGTCGATCTCTTTTTTTAGCCAATCATTGCCTCTGCTCCCTCGCCTGGGTCTTGTTTATTAAAAGAAAAAAACTTTGCAGCTTTTTTGAACATTAGACACACACATGTCTCACAACACTAATATAAATATTTAACACACATATATATCTGCACTACAGCGGTGATGTCACACGTGTGTCCACAGAGTCGGTGCGGTTGGTCTCGGGGTCCGGTCTGTGTTCAGGATCAGTGCAGATCTGGAACGGGTCCTGGACCGGGGTCTGTGACGGGGACTTGGACCAGCGGGGGGCAGAGGTGCTGTGCAGGGAGCTGGGCTGTGGGGCTCCTTCTCTCCTCCAGGGGGCGCTCTCTCCTCTGGGGCAGACGTTCCACTGTGAGGGACATGAGTCTGCTCTGATGGACTGTCCCCGCTCCAACTCAAGGACCTGCTCCTCTGGAGCCACTGTCAACCTCACCTGCTCAGGTAAAGGGGCGGGGCTTCACTGCTCAGGTAAAGGGGCGGGGCTTCACTCTGTCTCTTGTCTGTTCAGAGCCGCTCAGGTTGGTGGGAGGAGCCAGTCGCTGTAATGGGACTCTGGAGGTGAAACACAGAGGAGAGTGGAGACCTGTGTCTTACAGCCCATTAGTCTGGGACCAGGACGACACAGCTGCTGTGTGCAGAGACCTGAACTGTGGCTCTGGTCTTTATGGAGGTCGCAGATCTGATGAAGGTAATTTTGTCTCGTTAATATTTACAAATACACAGAGGGTGATATACAAACAGTCATTGGTTTGTGTTGTGTTGTTTGTGTGTTTTGATCCACAAATGTAAATTTAATATTTATAACTTGTATTTTGATCTTTACAGATCGATGTGTATTTGTAAATATATGTTTTTCATTTGCAAAAAATAATTTCATTTGTAAAACTGAAAATTATTTTTGTAAAATGTGATGTGCATTTGTGGATCACCAATTCACCAATTTTTGGTATGACGTAATTTTGAGACTAGGTGTTACCGACATTATTTATAAAGCTGAATTATTCTTATGCAAAAGCTTGTGAATCCATTTTTAAACCTTTTAGTCAAAATCTGCCAAAGTTGACTTTTTTGCGATTCACATTTTAACCAAACTGGTCTAGTCCCATGTTAATTTAGAAAAAGGTAAACTGTTTGTACTTAGAGGATGGTGACTGCTCTTGACCGGTTATGTCCATGGTTTCGTTCACCTGAAGTTTTCTATCGGGTGGAAAAAAGTTCTCACACTCGCCACCTCCCACACCAACGCCAATAACAACACTGCCCTCTAGTGGATGTATGTGGATCAGTCGGCTGTTTGTGGACGTGTCTGAGTTTGTGTCTCAAAATGAAGTCATACTGGAAATCGGTGAATTTGTGTAACTTATGATCCACAAATGAGACTCACACTTTACAAACAGAAATTTCTGTTATTTTTCAATTATTTTTTTGCAAATAAAAAACATATATTTACAAATACACATCTATGTGTAAAGACCAAAATACAAAATATAAGTTACAAATATTAAATTTGCATTTGTGGATCAAAACACATGAAAAAAACATTGTCTCTTTGTAGATCATCATCTGTGTATTTGTGAATATTAATGAGACAAAATTATCTCCATAGATCTGAATTTGGAAGCGAAACCTGTGTGGGAGCTCACACCTGACTGTGTGAAGAAGTCTTCAGTGAGAGGATGTGTCTCTCAGTCAGAACACTCTCGGTGGAGTGTGGAGATGATGTGTTCAGGTAAAAGTTAGATTTCACATTATTATGTCTCTAATGTATATATATATTTTTTCTAGTTGCTCCAGAAGAGTGTCAGGTGTAAAATAGTTTAGTAGGTTGCAGTAGGTCTTGTGTTGAACTTGGGACGTTGTAATTTCTTGTTTTATTCAAATCAATATCAGAACATTAGACACAGACACGTCTCACAACAGTAATATAAATATTGAGCACACACATATATATCTGCACTACAGCAGTGATGTCACATGTGTGTGTCCTGTTGGAGCTGGAAGAGTCCTCATGTTCACTTCCTACTGAATTATTCCTGGCGTGTTTTTTGGCTGCTGCTTCTCACTCCGCGAAAATCAAATTTAGCCTATTTTCTACTACAACTATTGCACTTTCTTCTATTGGAGCCTCTCCCTCCCTCTCCTCCTAAAGACCCGACGGTCATGCCCTCGGTGGTGGCTCTTAGATCCTGGTCTGTGCTTGTAACTCTCCTGCTGCATCGAGTGCATTGACACCATCCTCACCCGGCCTCTCTTCGGCCAAGCCACCGTCGTCTATCTCCCCGACATGTCGTGTTTGGTCTCATTCATCCTGGCTCTCTCTTCTCTCTGTTCGCTGGTGATCCCGATCACGGAACCCATGGCTCTCTGATACAACGGCTTCTCAGTCTATACCATCTCACACCCCATCTCCACAACTCACGACTGAAATAAAAACTTTGGGACTCTTACGACGCCCCCGCAACATCCACAGAGGCTCCCACCACAATTTAATTCATATTTCCACCGTGACTAAAAGCTCCTGCACAACTCAGACTGTACTCCACTACACCTCCACCTCCCATCACCACAACAACTGGCCACGTCATCAGAGCGCCAGTCACATGAACGCTTTCAATCTCCGCACCACACCCATTTCCCCCCCTCAGCCCTTCACGACAAAAGTCTCTGAAAATCGGACTATTCAGCACAAGATCCATCAGCAATAAAAGCCTTATCAACAAATTCATCCTGAACTCTTAACTGGATTTACTCTCTCTAAAAGAAACCTGCCAAAAAACTCTGGATCATTTCTGTTTCAACCAAGCCACCCCTCCTGGACAAGCCTCGTCCTGACTGCGCTTCAAGGGTTTTGCTGCCATCTACCAACAAATCCTGAGACCCCAGCCTCTCCCCGTCCCTCCAGTCTCCACATTTGAACATCTCACCTTTCAGCTCTCTGGCTCAACTCCATTGACCATCGCCATCTTTTATCACCCCCCAATACAAACTCATCCATTCGGTTAGATTTTTGATGACCACCACTTTCCTCAAACTCAGCTGCAACAAGTCTGAAATCATCATCATCATCATCAGTCCCAAATCTCTTGTCACCTCTGGCCGCACAGTCACCCCCTCAGCTCAGATCAGAAACGTTGGATTCATTTTTGACCCCATCTTCTCCTTCAGACCACATGTCCGCCACATCGACAACACCGCCTTCTTCCACCATTGTAACATTGCCAGCCTTGGCCCCATCTGTGCCTTCATCACCTCCAGATTATTGCAATAGCCTCCTCTACAGTCTTCCCTCCACTGACCTCAAAAATGTCAGGATGTTCAAAACCTTACAGTCTCCAGCCCCCACACCCTCATGACTGTCTGTCCTGTCCTTGTTTTAGTCTTACTTTACTGTGACGTGTCTTTGTGTGCTGGTTTTACACCTGGTTTAGATCTGGTTTAGTCCTGGATTTAGATCTGGTTTAGAGCGCATATAGACTCCAGTGTGGTCCGCCTTCTCACCGGCAAATGAACCAAAATCGGTCTGATTGACGTTTCATCAATGTTTATCTTCCGGTAGAAATAAGTGCCCATTTTAGTGTCAACCTGATGTTCCCCAGCACCATTGTTCCCCCAGGAAACATCGGTACCTTCAATTGCGAAATGTACTGATGTTCCCTCATTAACACCTTAACACCTCTGAAGTTATCATCATGAACTCATAAAACAGCAGCATGTAGCTTATAACTTTATAAACAACTCGCTGCACATCAGCCCAGAGCAGAAGCTCAGAGCTCAGGCAACAGCAATAAAGACACACGACACTCACCATAGCACATGAACTCTGGTAAACTCCAACAATGTGCATCGGGCTTGAGAGCAATCGAAGAGGCGCAACGCGGGCTCCATTGTCGTTGACGGGTGCATTACAGGACGCAGGTTCTTTCCAATGATATATCTATGTGCCACCACTAGGTGGCACTATATTGTTATTGTTCTGGTTTTTCTTATTATTATTTTCTAAACATCTGAGCACAGTTCGGCAACTTGTCGCTGAGGAAAACTCACCAAATTTTGCACAAAATTTACGAACACCAAAATAGAAATTTAAAAATACTCCACATCAAAAAACTAAAAAAAAACTAAAAAAAAAAAAAGGCGCAACAGCGCCTCCTATGGCTATACCCGAAAAATTAACTCATAGAGAAACAAAATTCGGGTGGTGGATAGGTCTTGTTGTTCCAAACAAAAAAATATATTACGTGGTTGCTAAGTAACCAACAGGAAGTCCGCCATATTGGACTGATCATGTGACTCGGTGCCAAAGGTGCAATTTTCCTGTCCTCACACTTGAATGAACTCGTCCTGGGGCGTTTGACCCAGACTCACCAGAATCATTGTGTATCATCTGGACAAGTGCGACATTCAACAGCAACGGTGCAAAATTCAGGTTCGTTTTTGAAGCTTGCCATCAAACTTCGACATGTGATAATTCAAATTTGTGCAACGTTCATATTTATATAATAAAATCTAAAGTGGATGCAATAGCACCCCCTAAGGAGAAACCCAAACCAAATTTGGTCCACAGACGATTCATGGAAATAGGAACACGGACCACACCTCCTCCCAAACAGAAAGTCTGCCATGGGAACTTTTGCTTTATTAAGCTCTATCAAACAAGGAGAAGCGAAAGGAATTGTGCTGCGTATGGGAGGAGGTGTGGTGGGCGGTCTGGCAGGATGGTTAAGTCCTGGCTAAATCCTGTTTTAGTCCTGTTTTAGTCCTGGTGTTAGACCTGTTTTTAGACCTGGTTTAGTCCTGGTTTAGTGGCACAGCCCATGTGACATACAGAAGGAGGGACTGTCCATGCGGCGTACGGGACGGATGACAGTCTGCTGCTTAAAATGTTTTTATTAATGGCAAATATAATATTCAGCACAAATAAAGCATGATATTCTTACATTCATCATTTGTATATTTTACTTTACTCTCATATTTAGTTTGCGGGACTGCAGTTTATCATCACACCCGCCCGCTCCCGCGTTGTGTAGTCCCACTCCCACATGCGCCCGCAATGAGCTTTCAAAATGTGTCCCGCGCCGCACTGTTTGGCGTTGGGTCCTGTGGGACAAACAGTGCGGGGATCTAGTGGGGTCCAACATAGGTGCGAGCGACAGCCAATCATTGCCGCTTGCAGCTATATTTTATTATTATTATTATTGGCCCAGAGTGATGATGTCACATGTGTGTCCACAGACTCGGTGCGGTTGGTCTCGGGGTCCGGTCTGTGTTCAGGATCAGTGCAGATCTGGAATGGGTCCTGGACCGGGGTCTGTGACGGGGACTTGGACCAGCGGGGGGCAGAGGTGCTGTGCAGGGAGCTGGGCTGTGGGGCTCCTTCTCTCCTCCAGGGGGCGCTCTCTCCTCTGGGGCAGACGTTCCACTGTGAGGGTCATGAGTCTGCTCTGATGGACTGTCCCCGCTCCAACTCAAGCACCTGCTCCTCTGGAGCCACTGTCAACCTCACCTGCTCAGGTAAAGGGGCGGGGCTTCACTGCTCAGGTAAAGGGGCGGGGCTTCACTTTTCAGGTAAAGGGGCGGGGCTTCACTGTTCAGGTAAAGGGGCGGGGCTTCACTGTTCAGGTAAAGGGGCGGGGCTTCACTCTGTCTCTTGTCTGTTCAGAACCGATCAGGTTGGTGGGAGGAGCCAGTCGCTGTGCTGGGATTCTGGAGATGAAACTCAGAGGGGAGTGGAGACGAGTGTCTGTACCCAATAACGATTTTGAACAGGAGGACACAGCTGTTGTGTGCAGAGACCTGAACTGTGGCTTTGCTGTGCGTGGAGACAGCAGAGATGATTTTCCTAAGAGTCCTGTGTGGAAGACCAGAATTTCCTGTGTGAGGAATTCTTCAGTGAGAAGATGTGTCATCCCTTCCTCCTCCTCCTCGTCTTCCTGGGGTGTGGACGTGGAGTGTTCAGGTAAAAGTCTGATCTTACATTTTTATGTCTCAGATGTTTTTTCTAGTTGCTCCAGAGGAGTGTCAGGTGTCAAACATTTATTCAACATGATGCATGTGGAATAGTTGGTTTGGAGTGGGCATCTCACCAGAGGGACCACACCAGAGTTTGTCATTTGGTGCAGAGTCAAGCGACCGACACCAACTCTTTTTTAAGGTCTCGGTCTGTTTGGTTTAGTGCAGATCTGAGTGCGATTGAAGTTTTCACACCAACGAAAACAAATCCAACTAAGACCTTTTGGGTCGAATGGAACGTTTGGTGCAAAAACTGCTGTCAGTGTGAAAGAATCCATGGTCTTAGTCCTGGTCTTGGTCCTGGTCTTGGTACTGGTTCTTGGTTCTGGTCTTGGTGCTGGTCTGATCTGGGTTCTTTTGTGTTGCAGAGTCAGACTCAGACCTGATCATCAGAGTCGTGGTGATTCTTCTGTTGTAGCTCCTGTCCATCCTCCCACTGTCCTACTGCTACCACCTTTAGACCTGGTTTAGACCTGGTTTAGACCTGGTTTAGACCTGGTTTAGACCTGGTTTAGACCTGGTTTTCTGACTTGTTGTTGTGCTGTGTTCTGCTGTTTCAGAGGCGGCGTCAGGGAGAGGCTCCAGCAGAGAGTGAGACCGGTTCAGACCTGAGTTGGTCCAGTTTCAGAAATCATCATCATCATCATCATCTTTTATTGTC